TTTCTTTTTGCACTTTCATTGTCGTTACGTAGTACAGGTATTATGTAACGACATGGTTCCTCTGCATTTGACCCATCCTAGTGTTAGGAGCAGTGGCTGCCATCATGAACGGCGCCCGGGGAGCNTTTTGTTCAGTCGGATAATATCCACATGTCTACCCTACTTTTACAATTTTCTAAATCATAAATCTATCGATCATAAATCTATCGATTAGATTAATAATATTATTATTAATCTAATCGATAGATTTATGATCGATAGATTTATGATTTAGAAAATTGTAAAAGTAGGGTAGACATGTGGATATTATCCGACTGAACAAAACGTGATCCGTCTCTTCAATTACGGCGGTGGTGACTTGGCTTGGCAACTGGAAGGTCACCAGTTCAAGTCCCGGCAAGACCAAGTGCTACCGAGGTATCCCTGAGCAAGGCACCGTTCCCTACACTGTTCCCCGGGCGCCGTTCCAAATGGCAGCCCACTGCTCCTAACACTAGGATGGGTCAAATGCAGAGAAACACGGGGATTAATAAAAGTATATCATATCATCATGTATGTCAACCACATTTCGAGCTATTTTCCAAAACCCTATGGAGGAATTGCATTGCTTTTTCCTCGAAGGAGACATTTTAGGACGCGAGATTTAGGACGCGTCACTGTGGCACTCATCATTTCTAATACTCATTTTTTCCATTCCATATATTTAATTTACAAGATCCCCCCATATAGTAGCTTATCATCTCTTAACCAACACCTTGTCATTTGTATAATAATTTCTACTCGTACCACAGGTGGGAAACCTTCTCTTTGATTTCTTCCTTTTTTTCTAAACAGTAGACCAATTGATTTCTTAATTCAGAGAAATACAAAAAATAATTGACTTTCTCTTGTGTCTTTTTCTTGTATGTCTATTGTGTATTCGCATGTGTTTTTTTAGGATCTGGAAGAGATAAAGAAGGAGCTCTCTAAGACCGGACAAGAGAAAGCTCTGGAGGAGTCGAAGGCGAGCCAGCGTCTGTCGAAGAGAGTGAACCGAATGATCGGTCGCATCGGTAAGATCATCGGAGAGCTGGAGAAGGACAAGGTGATCCTGGACGGACAGATGGAGAGTGGAACAACCCCACCTGTAGGGTAAGAGTGGAAATCTTATTTGAACCTACACTGCTGCTGTCTGAGGGGGTTCAGAATAGAAAAGGGTTCCAATATTGGTCTGAACTTCCATTTTGTAGTATATTTTTTAAGGGCTGACGATATTCCATTTTTTTTTAGATTATCAATATAGCCCCTAAAAAGATCAAAACAAAATATCCCTCAATGCTTTTCAACCTCGATAATCAGGTCACAAATATATAATTTATTTCTAAAAAAGGTGTAGTATTTTTCTAAAACAGTTGGTCTCTGTAGTTTTTCAAATGTTACTCAATCAGGAGGAAAAGGTTCTTTGTTGGAAACTATTTTAACAGTAAATTAATTCACATTTGGTGTTTTGGATGATGTAAGTAGGAATACTAATTATTTAATCTCATGAATTAAAACACTTTTTTCTCAGTTATCTTTGATTTTAAAGTGTATATGTTATGTCTCTTTTTTTGAGCAGTAATACATTTTTATTATGGACTTTTACATTGAAACTATCATCATTATCTTATCACCATCATCCTCTTTATTTTCAAATGCTGGTGGAGATAATACAAGGAACAACATGTCTTCCTGAACAGAAGCACATGCTGTCAGTTATCATGCTAACAATAAATTCACAATTGCAAAACCGAATCCTAATTTATTTAAACTTTACAGATTATTCTTTATTAGACATAGGGATACCCGAAGGTAAGATGCACTGTGGTAAATTGCCATTTGCTTGCTTGCTAAACGCTAACCTCGCATTATTGGCTGTAAGCTGCTGAAATTTCGCTCTAAACGATCAACCAGCTTCCCTTTGTGCTCCATACACCAAAGTGCACCCCATTGGTTGCTGTGTATCCATTTTAATAAACAGTTATTGTTTCTTAATGAATTAAACAAGATGTAATGCTAAGATCTAACTTAAAGTGCTTGATTTGAATTTAGGACGACTCAAAATGTATTTGTGTAGTTTTTGGGATTCAGGGATTTACTGACGATCAGTGGTGGACGTATTTGAGTAAAAGTAATATCTGTAAAATGTACTTAAAGTCAAATCAGAAGTAAAATAACTCCTATCAGAGTGTTTTTGGACATGTTGGAGCCTTTAAGGTCCTGAAAATTCATTGTTTTTATCATATGAATATTCTTTTAGACTTTAGGGGCTCTTCTTTTAATTTTAAAAAGTAAAACTTCAAAATCAATCAATCTGATCAGGTCTACTCTGCAACTTTATTGAAACCATCTTTGAGGCTGTGTAGGGCCTTTGATTTATAACAATATATTTAATATCTCTATTATGTGATTTGTATATAAAGTTATTAATAAATATAGCGCTTAGAAAACTAATGAAAAAAAGTATTATATTTCCCATAAGACAATCATTTGATGATAAAATAAAAAAATCGTAAATTGCTAATTAATTCAGCTTTAAACCAAATGCACCATTCTTAGTAGCATTTTGAGCATGGATTAACTTTGAGGCAGCTTCCACAGTAATGTTCACTCTCACTATCGACGAAGCTTGAAATCAGCGTAATGGGTGTGATTCGGGAACCTCGATTGGGGCATGTTGTCCTCAGACTTCTCCGCCACATTCTCCTCACAATTGGTTACATACCGTTTCCTGTATGCAGTGTGTTCTACTCCTTCAGGGAGAACCTCATCAGCATCGACGAGCTGATCAGCGTCATGCGACAGATCCAGAACATTCCTGAGCACAAGCTGCAGAGCATCGCCGAGTCGCTCGACGACAACAAGGACGGGAAGATCGACATCGACGACGTCATCAAGGTACGTTCACGAGACAACGGAGAAATACGGCCCTGATTTGTGGTGCGTTTTTTATTTTGTAGTTTCTCTAATTATCACAGAAAGTTATTTTAAAGTTAGTTTTTAATAGGAAAAGTACTAAAGAAGGGGTTGTTATGGAAGAGAGAGGCTTTATCCTATTAAGCATAGAAATGATTGTATTCTATGTATTTTGATAAATAGTACCACTGGCAGTTTCTGCAGGTTTTTTGTTTTACTTTTTAGCTATGAGTTTTTTATTTGATGTAGAAATACTTAGAGCACTAATCTCATTTGTTTCACCGAAGACACAACACTTTAAAATCAGGTCACGTATATTTAAAATGTATTTCCTTAAATGCCGTGGTATATAGCAAATATTATAAAACAACAGAAAACAATACATCAGGCAACAGATGCTACGTGGGATTGAATGTGTCACTATATTGTAATATCTATAGTGACATGTTATGTTCAAATACTTTCAGTTACACATCACCACAGACCTCTGCCAAGGACTAATTCTCTATCTCTCAATATTAACAAAACTAGAAAAAATAATGAGTGTATCCTCCCCTGTTCGAAAATGAAATGGAATATTTCCTGGCACGCGTGACACACCTCCACCTAGCTTCATTACAACCTAGCCTTTAGTTTTTCTGAGATCCTAATATTATGTTATTTAGAAATACTTGAGATATAAAGCAAAGTAACGGCTCAAATAATAATAATAATAATAATACACTTTATTTGTATAGCACCTTTCATGCACAAAGCAGCCAAAAGTGCTTTACAGAAAACATAACAACAATATTAAAATAATACTAAATTAAGTACAGAACAAGATAAAACATCTACAGTGATCCTAATGAAATCCCCTTGAATTAAAGCTCATCCAGAATGCAGCAGCTCGTCTGGTCTTCAACCTTCCTAAATGTTCCCACTCCGCTCCTCCGCTCCCTTCACTGGCTTCAGTAACTGCTAGAATCACTCTCAAGACACTGGTACTTGCGTACCATGCGCGAATGGGATCTGGCCTTTCTACATCCAGGGACATGGTTAAACCGCACACCCCGCAGGCGTGCACTCCGCCTGCATCAGCCAACACTCGCTGCAACCGCACTGCGAGGGGGACCCAGTTCCATCAGCAAAACACGTGGTTGCTGTCCTGGCTCAAATGGTGGAATGAGCTCCCCCATGAAACGGCAGCCGAAGCTTACACATCTTCCGGCGCAGACTGAAACCTCATCTCTTTCGAACTCCTTCGGGGCGATAGAACTTAACTAACGAAGGCACTTTATATTCTACAGATAAAGGACTGGCTTATCTAAAGCCCGTTAGTAGCACTTAAAGTGGACCTATCATGCTATATTGATGAATATAGGGTAGCGACCATACCTATATAAGACATATTTAGACTTTTATTTTTCAAAATACCAAAAGATCATGCATTTTAGCCATTCCTCATTTTCGCTATCAATACACTTGTCTTTTCATGGGCTGATTCTGTGAGAACAGCACCATCTACAGGCCTGGCATATGTGACACTCAGCGTGCTCCAGCGCCTTTCCAACGCCAATGTCCGTGGGCTGTCTCTCCTGATTGGTGGAGTTGGCCCAATGAGCCGTTGGCGCCACTTCTGTGACGTCATAGAAGTGTCCAATCGTGTATCAGTCTGTTCAGATCTCGTTGCGCCCTTTTTAAGATTCGGGTATGGAGGAAAATAGAGAGCGTTGTGTTTTCTGAGCACTGTGGTGAGGTTCCCTGGAACACCGGGGACAACATTCCTGTATAAAAGATCGTACAAAAGTGAATTTTGCATGATAGGTCCATGTTTGGCTCTATGGAACTGATGTACTTACCGTTATTTTCGCGGACGAATAAGTCGGGCACTTTTTTCCTAGCTTTTGGCTGGTCCTGCGAGCTGTATATCAGGAGCGACGTATAATAGTTTTAAATGTCCAATTCATGCTGACTGGACATGAACCGTCTACAGGCCACCGAGGGCGCTCTCGGCTGCTCGTGACAACATATATGCTGCTCGCTGTTACCCACTGAAAAAACCACGAGAGAAGAGAGGCGGGACGGTTCTTCCGGTTAGCTGCCTGTAGCCATTGGTCGTTAGGGCCTGTGCTTGCTTAGCTTGTTGCGCGTCTGTGTAGCCCGCCGTCTTGTGTCCGGTGCGGCGCAGCGTCCACCGCCCTACCAGCCCAGCGGCCGGAGATGCGCAGTGGCGTGCGGTCCGAGATGCCCGCGTCTGTCCCAGCAGTCCTCCGTCGGATGCCGCGCAAGGGGTCAGAAGCTCCCCCTAGCCCGACCGCAGAGCCAGCTCCAGCGTAGAGGGGGGGGGAAGGGGTATGTGTTGCCGTTACCTACCGGACCCTGGTGCTTGGTTATAACTATCCCTTTCCAGTTTTACCGTAAATGTCTGTTATTGGCTTGGATTTAAAATAAATCTCTGAATATACGACTTATCGTCCGGTGGCGACTCCTTATATACGTTTTCTTTCCTCTTCACGACGCATTTATTGGCTGATGCGACTTATACTCAGGAGCCGACTTATAGGTCCGCCGAAATACGATATATGATTCTGTTTTTCTCAAGTTTGTATCTTCTTGTCCGCCCCGCACGTTATTGTAAGTATCGCTTTGTCGATACTAAAGCTTCATCATAAATCTTATAAGATGTAATTCTATGAAGCTGAGAAGAATTATGGAGAGTAGGTAAAGGTAAGAAATCTCTCATTGTCTGAAAAAATAAATTAAATAAGAAAGCAAATCAGAAGCAATACGAGTAAACACTGGACAATGATCTACGATGGCCATCTTAAAGATTAGGTTTTGAATTGCTTTTGACTGTGCTCTTTTGTCCGCGCATTATCCCAGGTGGTGTAGCTATGTCGACAAGGGGACATCGACTCTCCACCTCTCAGGTGGCGCCCAGCATGCGGCTTGTGCTGCAGAGGTATGCAGACAGCTGATAGAGAAGAGCAAGGCCAGAGGAGAGGCAGCTGAGAAGGAGGGCCCAGCCACTTATTCACTACTAACTTTTCTCCATAAAGACACATACTCAGATAGTATATATAAATACAAATATGTAAACTAATGGGACCAGGTGACGTGTCATGCGCGGTCATAGAAGTCTTCGCGTAACAGGCAGAGTCTTAGGATCGTGGACGACCCTTAAGAGAGGTAACAAGTGCCTCTCAAAATGTCAGGAAAACATAATCCATAAAGAAGCCAAATTGCCTTAAAATGCCCCAAATTCGTAATTGATTAAGTTAACCTTTCTGTGACTAAGTCATAGGTTAATATTGTTGATTAGTGATGTAATACTTTAATATATCAATGAGTTATGATAAGAGTGGAAACACAATGGTTATAAATATTCCAGGTATCAGTTAGCGTGAGGAGTGCGCTCAAAACGAAGAATTGCTTTAAAGGTTATGGTTGGAAACTTAGATGTATATTTAGGTAAGAGAATATGTGTTTACAAGTTTGAGGTGTAAGTCTCCTTCTATGTGCCTCATTCGCTCTCTTGTCGAGTCGCTTCAGTAACATCATCCTCTGCGACCTTCTCATCTCTTCAGTTACCTCATTATTTTTCCTCTTTTGATTTTGTTTATTCATCAATGCTCTCCATTTGCTACCTTTTGCTTATTTTNATCATAATACTTTAACGTAATTGTTTGTGTTACTTTCGTTGCAGTTGTATGTCTTAAATGTAATGTAAATGTTGCCTTCGTGTGTGGTTCGGGGCCATCTTCGTGCGAAATTCACAATTCCATATTCGTGTGTCCATCGGGTATCAATTTTGGGACAGTGTGACAGGGGCTTAACAGTTGACAAATCACAACAGAGCCGGCCAGCTAACCAATCAGAGCAGACTGGGCTCTGGTTTCAGACAGAGGGTGAAAAGAGGTGCTGCAGCACAGGCAGTATGAGAACAATAAAGAGCTTTTTTGAACATTAAAGCATGGAGACATGTCACAGCAGAGGCACAACATATGAACCTGAAAAGGAGCATAAATGGGCCCCTATAACTTTTGTCATACATTTTGACATTGCTCAGTTATTTATAAATGATGATAATTGCCAAGCTGCGATGTGGTTACTTTCTTTTCTGTGACACATGGATATTTCAGATTTATGCATGCTATCATGACTCATATTTCAACAACAATAATAGCTGCTAAATGTCGCGCTCTGCTGTAAAAATGTCCAGGCCATCAGGCACACACACTAAATGATGGGGAGAGAGAGGGGCCGCAGCCTTGAGCCTATGAAAATGCCATTGATGTTAACTATCTGAATGTGTCCTGCCAGAAATACCGCAGTTGGGCCGGAGTTGTTCGCTATCAGCGTGTAGTAGAGACAGGAGTCTGAATCTGTCTGTCCTGCCCGGTGCGTGAGATCTTATGGCTCTTTGATGTGCTCTGTTGTTTAGGCTTTGATTTACGAAGCGCCATCTTTATCATTTTCCCTGCTTTCTTGAAGCCATTGGAGCCATCAAAAGATATTGGTTAGTGTGTGTGTGTGTCGGGGCGGGCTTGTGTGTGTGTGCTTGCTTTTCTAAGTACTTTGAGGAGGGGGGATAAGTAGAAAGGTAAACTAAAGGCCAAGGCTGTGAAGATGTAAATCTCTTTGAAGTTACAAAAGTGTGTGTTTTTGGTGGTTTTCAGTGTGTACGTGACTTTGTTTTGGTGTCCCGATTAGATGTCATCTCTGTGTTTCAATGTCACCAGGCAGTCTGTCTTCTGTTTACCTCCATAACTAAGGTGGAGCCATCCATCTGTATTCACATCATGGTTAGGCCGGCTGCGCCCTGTCAGAGATGTCTCCGCTCAATGACACACCTGTGTTTACAGTAGGCAATGCATGTAAACAAGAGCGGCCTGTGTGTGTGTGTGTGTGCGTGCGTGCGTGCGTGCGTGCGTGCGTGCGTGCGTGCGTGCGTGCGTGCGTGCGTGCGTGTGTGCGTGTGTGTGAGTGTGTGAGTGAGTGTCTATCCGCCTACTGAATGGATCATATGGCTCAACAGCTTTTGTAATGAGTGGCTTTAACAGGTAGACGGCGACTGGCAGACTACCATGTCATTATACCCTGCACTGCTCTGTCATTGGGACTTCAACTGTATTGAAGAGGCAGATAGAGACAAAGCACAGACTCCCTGACCTCGTTTGTTTGTTTCATAACGCAGGTCTACACTGTATTTACGTTGAGCGAGTTTCTCGTGGAGGCACACAGCTGACCTAACCTTTTTGCCTTGTGTCCTTTTGTTAAATCCAGGTCCACAACATGGAGCAGAAAATGGACTCAGTCCTGCAGATCTTGATGCAGCAGTTTCCGCCCCGGCCGGAGCTGAAGTCCACGCCCTCCCTCCGCAGGGTGACCATCCAGAACCGCAAGGGTAACGGCGACGACCTCTGATGTCGCAGTGAAGGTCACACTGGGAACGATGGCGTCGTCAACAAAGGAGAATTAAAGGACAAGGAGTTACATAAATAGCCTAGGCCCCTACATGTGGGGCCAACCTGCACAGAATAAGGGTACTCAGTCTTCCAACAAACTTTCTCTTCCATTTGCAATCGCACAGTTTCTCATTGACTATCTACTGAGAATAGAACAAACTTGATTTGTCCTCTTGGACATGAGGGCAGGAGCAACACAGAGATTGGGATTCATAAAGAAGTCTAACTAACTTCTCTTCTTATTATTGTTGGCCCTGTTTGGTTCCTGTTTGGTTTTCTAAATGTAGCTTTCTCTTATAAACCCCCATAAAGGCCCTTAGTCTTCCCTTGCTGCACACGGTGACTCAAGCAGCAACATGCTATATAAATGTATTATCCTACCTTAGCTCATAATCACACTACTCCGATAATGTTAATTTATGTGTGGTCTGTCACTGAGCTGCATTCCTCCACTCCAAATGTTATTCCAAAGCTAACTAACCCCCTAATGAAGTCATAATGAAATCAAAGCACTCGAGTTCCCTAAAGACACAGAGAAAAAGTGAGAGTCCGGCCATGGCAGAGGCATTCCTCAAATCCTTCTGATTATCTTGGCACCATCCACCCGCAGTACACAACAGGGCTATTTCCATAGCCACATATCCATCTAGCCTAACTGTACTCAGGCTGCGGCGTGTGTTTGTTAGTAGTGATCGAATAACACGAGGAGGGAAGGTCAGGTTATCTGTTGATTTTGCCCTGCGTTAGGAAGCGGAAGGCTGAAATAAAAGAAATGGAAGTAGAGAAATGTGTATGAGTTGGGCGGCTAACACGGCGCTGATTTACAGCTGCATCAAAGCTAATGAAAATAGCCAAACCTCTTTTAAAGGGCCTGCTTTACAGTCCGGAGTGAAGGCATGGTCTCTCATTTCACTAAGATTTCATGAGCATATCGATCTCAATCTAAGACTCACTCCACCCTGCTTAATATCCTCCATTACCCTCTTCAGGGGGCACTCACTGCTGTGCGCAATTTGAAATAAATTTGCCCCATTAAAGCTCTGATTATTTTTTTCTCTGCAGAGCTAATTAAGTGCTGAATTCCTGGTAAGGGGAGATTACTCACTGGCAGCTTCTAATGAAAAGAAACACTGGAAAATGTGCAGAATTGAAACAGTAAGCTTTGAGTAGCAGACGCACTAATTCTGTGTGAAAGGTTTGGAAATAGCGGTGGTGGCGAAGGCAACTGGAAGGTCACCAGTTCAAGTCCCGGCAAGACCAAGTGCTACCGAGGTGTCCCTGAGCAAGGCACCGTTCCCTACACTGTTCCCTGGGCGCCGTTCAAAATGGCAGCACACTGCTCCTAACACTAGGATGGGTCAAATGCAGAGAAACAATTTCCCCACGAGGGATTAATAAAAGTCCATCTTGAGTATCAAGTACGGCGAGCTGAACGACATGAGCAAATGCTCTCACTCTGTCCCCCATACTTATCTGACAGAATGCCCGAGCGATGTAGGAAGTAGAGAATTAGAAAATAACTCAACTATGTAGCTATGGATGGAAACGCCTCTACAGAACAAATTATAGCATGAGCACATTGCCTAAGGAGGACGCATGCAAACACAGAAATTGGGAGGGTGACCAAGGGAAGCGCAAAAGTGGAAGAAGCCCCTTCTCTCTGCACTAGTATTTACTATTTCATATTATTGCGTTTGTTTGAAACTGTATTATTATTATTTATCTTACATTGAATAAAATGTTTATATTTTAAAAGTAAAGGTACTAATTTTCGCTGAAAAACTTGATGCATATCCGGCCGTCCATCTCCTGTACAGTTTTTTAAAAGTCTGTAAATAGAAACATTGCCTTATTGTACTGTTTTAGTATCACGTGGAAAGATCAACCTGGAACATTATCTACTTTTTGAAGCAATGAAGAAAAACAGATGTGCGGTCCTGTTTCTAAGAGATGGATAGGAAATGATCCTGTAAATGAATATTCATGCGCGAACGCGCTCTGCACCTGTTAAGCCCTGCTGTAAAATAGATAAAAACTCCATTATCATTATGCTCTGGCCCTGCTCTCTTGGGCTGGGAGGAATTTGATGGTACCAGTTTATCTATTCCAAATTTGCTTTGGATTGGGAGGGGGAAACCCAGTGTATAGATTTTCTTGGGCTCACTTTTTGTTTTCCAATCTCAAGAACGAGCAAGGTCAAGAGGTAAACCAAGGGCCGGAGTTTCCCATCCAAATCAAATCTCCTCAACTCCTCATTTCACTTAACTCCTTTCACACTGCAATCATCACGGAAGGGGAAAG